CAACAATGAACACCTTAAATCACCACGGCCTTGTTCAGATCAGACCAATGAGAACCATATGCACTACTGTTACTCAGACTTCAGCTCAGATGAATGGCATTCCTTTCCATACTAGGCGACCTTCTCTCATTTTCCGTTCCCCACTTTCCCCCGGCCCCCACCACCAAAACTGCTGCTGTGTTTTTTTCTACATAAATCTCTTTTACAAACCAATTCCTCCTCTGCCTCAGAAGTATTAATCCCATTCACACTTGGCTGAGGTTTGAGCTCCTGCTGCTCAAACTCAGATAAATGTGTCTACAGCACATGAGACGGTATTTGGACATTAGCCGGGCTGCACGGCAACTTCACACCGAAGCGGTATTTGGACATTAGCCGGGCTGCACAGCAACTTCACCGAAAGCATTTGCGACGAGCGTCTTATAGATCCCAGGAGACTTTGCTGCCTTTTTTCTGAGTATGGTTCCTATTTTCAAGACCTGATAATGAACCCTGCTCCTTTCATTGTGGTGATAGTGGTGTGTGGGGGCAGAAGGGGGAGGAGGAGGAGGTAATCTGGGTTGAGGGAAGGACATTCCCTGCATTCCTTTGTCTGTCTGACGCAGCAAGGAGGTCTGCAACTCTGCTTTAAAGGGGACGCAAGACAACAGTATGAGGAACGGGGGAGGGAAGCCCTGAGATTAGGGGGTGTGGAGGTACCGATTAGCTTTGACAGGACAGCATTCAGGAAAAGAAATCAGCAGAGGGAAAATAGCGAGTGAGGGGACAAATAGACTTTTTCACATACTTTATACATAACTGTCAGTCAAGATAAGGCAATATAAGTTCCGATAAGTCTGCAGGGTTAGCCAAAAGCCAGACTTTTGGCTAACAAAGAAGGTAAAGCTCAGGTTAGTAGTAGTAGTTTTTGCAATTATAGCAAAAATAGAAACATAGAGTTGAATAATTTGCCATCAAGTTGATATAAAAGGTGAACTGTTTCCTGAGAACTGTATTTTCCAATGGAAAAAAAAAAATCGAAAACAAAATTGAGTGATAGCTGCAAAAAAAAATCTCTCAAAGTACCAGCTTTGGCCCGAGGCCCATAATTTGGATCTGCATGCATAAACTGACAAGTGTGTGTTTGACACCCATTTACTTGGAGGTATAAATTCCACCATTACGTTACTCCTGCCAGTACCACCCTCTAAACTACATTGAAGGTGCATTAAATCAGTACAAAATGGCTGGTTTTTACCACTGTAGTCGTACCACTGACCCTAATGATTGCTTCAGCAGAATCTGTGATTTAAAAACTCACACTTTGGCCAACAATGATGAAACTTCTCCAAAATCACTTTTAATAATAAAAACATATCTTTCAGATGAAGTCAGCACCGGCCAGAAGCACGGGTTTGAAGTTCTCAGAAAGAAGCGCTCCAGTGGCCTTCTTTTACTGCTCAAACATATTACATGTTTTATGTTTTTATTTCATATTTTACTGCTTGGACCGCAGGCTTCATCTGTCTTTTGCCCAGTGGAGCAGTCTGTTGAAATAACGTCCCACCGCAGCCTTTTTTGTCTGCTCAGGATTCACAGCTTTATTTTGAATCCAGTGTTTCAGGTTTCATGTCTCTAAATTGAGACGTTAAAAAGAAAAATAACAGAGCAGTTTTCCACATGAGAGTGAAACGTGCCCATATAGGAGCCAGTTAGCTTCTACAGCCCTGGTCCGCACCAGCCAGCAGACTATATACAACAGGTGGCGATGTTAAACCATAACAAAAATCACAATATTGCCAAATAAATAAATAAATAAATCACTGAAATGTATTCAATAAAGCACTAGAAGCTCAAGTAAATTTCACTTTCTGTTGCCTTTCATACTGATAGCTGTTACCATATTGCTTGTTTTATAATATTTAAATTAGTTACAGAAACATGCAGTTGATTGTACTAGCTAGCGGACACTGCTGTAGTAAAAAACATATAGTGTTTAGGGCTAAAAAGTACCTACTGCTACAAAGGTACGCTAAAGTTAGCATCGCTCGCAAGTTCCCCAAATCATGAGATAAATGACACCCTTTTTTTTCCCAGTCTTCACAGTATATTTCATATTTGTCTTGAAACTAGACCACCCAAATTCTCTGCGGCATTCAAGCGGAATCATTTTTCCCGCAGCGTCATGTTTTCTGTTTATCACTTTGTTTCCTGGGTTCCTTTGCGAATATCCTGAATCAGGGAGGATGTCTCGTCTGTCTCCGAACATATATCTTCTTCTTATTGTTATCACTGACTGTCTCTGTGCCATATGAGAGACGTCTGGGACCAGGATGAGAAACGAGCAGAACATCAGAGGGAAACCACACACAGGCAGCAGCCTGGAGACGTGGCCTGTCTTTGGATGTTCTTGATTGACTCAGCATTTGTCCTGACGGCTGCTGTTGTCCAGGTGTCCTGGTTTGAAGCAGCAGCAGCAGCGCTAACAGTTTGTGTCCTCCTGCTGTGATTGGACAGGTGGTGACCCCGACCAGAGTGGGACAGACCTACACTTACAGTCCAGGCCAACATAACCAGCAGGACCTCTACGATGTCCCACCCAGTAGACCACAGGGGGTAGGTGTCTCATGTCCCACACAGTGTGTACAGTACAACAGCAGGGATTATTATGACATGAACTGCTAATAAGTCCACTTTAAGGAGAGGACAAAAACATACGGCCCGCGGGCCAAAACTGGTCCACTAATGAGTTCAATCCAGCTCAAATAAAAAACATTTTTAAAGCAAAAATATGCACAAATACTTCAACGTTCATGATGTCTGTCTAATTATATTTCATTCAATATGAATATTTTCTAATGTAGTTGTACTTATTTGCATTAAAACAAAAGGGGAAAACATGGAGCTATTGTTATTTATAAGTAATTACGTTATGATTGTACATCTACTAAATTGACCAATCAACAGCGATCTGACTTCTCAGTCAACATGTCAAACAACGACAGCAACTACATCATATAATTATAATGCTAATTACTGCCACTGAGTATTTCTTGAAATACGTGTTAATGGGAACGGGCGATACTGCAGTTCACTTCAATAAATAATGCAGTACTTGTTAAACTGCATTATTTAATGGACACCATTAGAGCTTTTATGCAATACAGGGTACAACCAGCTTTTTCTTTCCCTTGTCGTTGCCATTAGACTGATTCCAATTTGACTTTGTTTACTTCAGGTGTACGATATTCCACCTGGTCAGATGTTCTCTGGTCAGCACGCCGCTGCCAGAAACCAGGGAGTCTACGACGTTCCTCCCTCCCAAATGGACCACAGGACGCAAGGCGTTTACGACATACCGTCATCTTCTCAAGGGGTAAGAGACCGAAGCCCCACACCACAATGAGAGGGCACATCACTCACTCACTCACTCACTCCTTTCGTCAATATCAAGTAAAGACAAACTGGGAAAGCAGTGGGCACTGCTCATGTCCGGAAAAATGTTATTTTAGGTTTATCGATTACAGTTCCTAGTATTTCTCCTAATTGTCTGTAATAAATGAATAATACGTCAAATGTCAGATTTATGACATTCCTGTGGCGGCAGCAAATGAAAGCTTTGCCTGCCAGTGGAGTTTAACCGAGATTCCATGAGAAAGTGTTCTGTCTGAACTCTCCAGCAGGGATTAAAACGTCAAGGACATAACTCTTTTTCTTTCCAGGCCCTCTAAGATTTCAGCAGACCCAAAACCAGGCAGAGCGCCACCAGTTTGTTTGTAATAACCTGAAATATGCCGGGACCTGTTATTTGCGTCCTTCTTAATTACAGTCTGGTCTGGCCTGTCCTAGCTGTAAATACTGCATTTTAAAGGCTGATGGAAATCACTTTCAGGCCACTGGTTAATTCACCTTACTCCACCGAGTGTCGTCATTACTGTGTGATGTACATCAGGTATCGCTTTCTGCTTCTTCAAGCCAGTGACAGGTCTTTGGCCGTCACAATTTGAGAAAAAAAACGAACAGTTTACATGAAATTCCAGATTCCTTAAAAATATTTTGAGTATTTTTTCCACTGTGGCTGAGAATCCTTTAAGCTCAAGTAAACAAATCAGTGGAAAAGAACCTTAGTTCAGACGAAGCAGGCAGACATTTTATTTCCTAATGTTTCACGACACAATAAGGCTGCCATTGAACTGTTGACAACTCCAACACTTTAACGACCGAGTTGTTAACAACCTGGATCTGGAAGTTTTAGTCGTCCTAACGACTGTTGTTGTAAGTTTTGAGTACAGCAGGTACAGACGGCAACTCACAGATGTTAAAATGCTGTGTTTTAGCAATAAATATGTTCTGCTCCTGCCTTTAAGTGATGCTACTTAGATGTTTTTGTATGCTGTGTATCACATAAAGGTTGTCTGAGGCTAACCTCCGATTTTACTGATTAACCCCGCTGTATTTTCTTTAATCAAGCTGCGCTGACTCAAAGATTTTTAAAGTTGAATTTGAACAGTCCAAGAGAGGGCAGAACGTGTTTGTGCGTTTGTGGGGCTGCGTTGGACGACAGAACCAAACACAGAATGTTTGAGGTTTTAATTATAGTGTCTGCAAAATCCAGAAAAATCTCTTGACTGCTGCACTGCTGCACACACGCTATTATGTATGAACCCACATTCATACTGCTTTAACCAGTCCAAGGACTTTGCTAAAGTGTATGAACGGTTCCTTTTTTACGCTGAGCTCTGGTTCCCCTGTGGAAGATTTCTTGGCATTTTCTGGAGCTGATTTCAATTTATACAGTAGCAAAAATAAACCTAGATCTGAGGAGACACTATGACAGCACAGCAACATGTTCTCATACCAACTAATTCAGTCCAAAGCCAGGTTAAAAGTGAAACTAATCTGTATTTAAAAGTTTAACCATAGGAAAGTACAGCTGGAAACTCTCTGGATAAAAACAGAAAATGCTGCGCTCTAAATAAGCGCTCTAATATTACTGCTATAATTGATGCTGCGTGTTGTTATGTCACCAATGAACACTTATGTAACAGCACTTTACCTTGGTACTGTTGACAAAACAGCAACCGAGTCGACAAGGTAAACCATGTGGGCCACATGCAGCTTGGATTTGCCCTTCATGTAGTCTGAGAATAAACCTCATTTCTGTCCCCATCTGCAGGTCTACTCAGTGCCTCCCTGCAGGACCAACCCTGCTCTCCAGGAGGGGAACTATGACTTCCCCCAGCCCCTCAAACACAAGCAGGAGGGCATCTACGACGTACCACCGCCTGTACTCACCAAGTCAGCACAGAGCCCCCAGTCGCCTTACGACTTCCTCCCCAGTGCAGAGCCTAATGCCCATCACCAACAAACAAATACCAACACCAATGAAGGCATTTACGACGTGCCCCCGCCGGCCCTTCTTTCAGGGGCGGCATCTCAGAGAGACATTTACGACATACCGCGCTGCAAGCAGCCGCTTCTCCACAAAAACTCACTAGCGGACAGAGACGGGAGCAAGGGCATCTACGACATCCCTGCTCAGGACGCCCGAGCGGTAGGCGACGTGACAGACGGAGTGAATCGCCTCTCGATCTCCAGCACCGGCAGCACACGCAGCAGCATGTCCACCTCCTCGTCCTCCACGGGCTCCAGCTCAGAGGGCCGCCTGGCTCTGGACGTGGACGCTGCTGTCCAGAGGTTGTACCGCCTGCAGCAGGCTGTGGAGGCCTCCGTGTGGTCTGTGCAGTCAATGGCATCTTCCCCTCAGTGGAGGACTTTTCCCTTCATGGAGCGCCATGCCAATGACGTCCACACCGGTCTGGACAGGGTCCGAGCTGCTCTCGGAGACTTTATTGTGTTTGGTCGAGGGGCCACGGTTAACGCCACCTCTCTGTCGGACTGCAGCGTGCACAGCAAACTCAGACGGCAGCTAGGACGCCTGGAGGACTCGCAGCAGATCCTCCTGCAAATCTACCAGATCCTGGAGAACAGCGGCTGGTCTCTGAACACACTGGCGTCGTCTGGGAAGCACCACAACAAGAGCGACGACCTGGATCGCTTCATTATGGTTTCCAGGACCGTCCCAGACGACACCAAGCAGCTGGGCTCTACGATAAGCGCCAACGCCGAGCTGCTGTTCCGGCCCTCACACATGGACGGGTCCTTCTCTAATAGCAGCACTCCTGATGAGAACATGCTCCACCCGCTCACCTCCCCATCGTCAGACAACGACAACTACAGCGAGCCCACCAAGCCGTTCCCTGTGCCGTCCAACCAGGACAAAGACAACTTGAACAACAGTGAAAAGTGCGTGAAAAGCTGGATGGAAGATTACGACTACGTCCACCTGCAGGTAAAGGCCTAACAACTGTACTGGAAACTGTGAAAGAGGTTGATTTTAAATTCACAACCATGGAGTTAAACTATTAACTCTCTGGAAACTGTGAAAGAGGTTGATTTTATATTCACAACCATGCAGTTAAACTATTAACTCTATTAACTTTATTTTATTGAATGTTGAAAGTCTCTGGTTTAAAAAACAAATGTATACGAAGTAGGACATCGCAACGAGCCTCCAGTAAAAGTATATACGAAGTAGAACATCGCAACGAGCCGCCAGTAAAATTACTGACCATACTGAAGATACAAGTCATTTATTAGATATTGTTACCATTTTTAACTGTTGTGACTTCCTTTCCTGTCTCTGCCTTTAAACCACAGTAATATCTACATGATCACTGGTCCTTCTTATGTCAATATTTTTTAAGACTCATGAGCAACTCAGTTGCAAATATTGTTTATTACTATGTAAAAAAAAAAGTGAGTTATAAGGTTAAGAAATTCTTATTTACGGTCAAAAGTGAGTTATAAGGTTAAGAAATTCAACCAGTTCTTATTTACGGTTTCTGGGTTTGGCAGCATTTCCAAACGACACACATTTCCAGTCACACTTTCTTGGGCCTTAATAAAATAATATTTTATCAGTGCAATTGGCCTGTTTTAAATTTGAAGGTTTATCCTCGCTCTGTAATTAACGTTAGAGTGGAGAGGTTCTGCCTGGTCCAGCCACAGTTCACTGGGATTTCACGGATCATTACAACTCACGACTTATCATCACGCCCTGTGTTATCTGATGAGTCACACAGAGCGTATCAAAGGTCGAGCCCGAGCCGGTGTGAGTAATATATATTTTTCTCCCTGCTTTGTTTTTTTCCCTGTAGGGCAAAGAGGACTTTGAACGTCAGCAGAAGGAACTGTTGGAGAAAGAAAACATCATCAAGCAGAGTCCAGCCCAGCTGGGACAGGAACAAGTGAGGCTCTCTCGCTCTCTCTCTCTCTCATGTCTTTCTACTGTACCATTTTTCATCATAGGTCAGTCTTGTTAATCTGTTAAATTACCGTGTAATCAGGGACTAGACGCTGCTCAACCCTGAAATCTCACGGAAGCGAAGACTTAGACAAAAACCTAAACGACTCCTCCGACCACAGCCTCCTGGTAGTCTTTCCCATTGAAGAAAGATTCTGATATTAAATACTCTACAAACACATGTTCTCAATCAGCTTCTTACTACGAGGACTGCGGTGATGCACACACACAGACGCTGCCAAATTGATCGTTGGGCCGTTCCAGAAAGATATTTCCTCTGAATTACGTTTAATACGCCACCAATTTAGGATCCACCGACATATTAATCAAAGCCAATGACAGAAGTTGGGCTGAAGTTGGAAAGTCAAACTTTCAACTGATAAAAAAGGATCTAGAGGAGTAGTTTCTTGAGTACTGGTGACATAATTTATAGATGCTTTCTTTGTTTGTTTGTTTTGTTTTAAAATGGCACGAACGTATGAAAAACCGTCACTACAAAGTTTGTACAAATTATTATAACCTTTAAACCACAAATTGTTTCAATACATACCACCAAAAATCAACTATAAACAACAGAAAACTCAGATGTCCAGACAGATATTTGAGTAAATGGAAGCAGCAAATATTTGGCATGAAAAAAGCCAGAACTGATTCACGTTGAAGTTTATGTAAAAAAAAAACAAAAAACATTTTTATAGTTTTTGTGACCAAATATTTGAGTGCTGGCTTTACCTCATGAACACATTCTCAGTCCTTCTACACTGTGTTTAGTCTATGAAACTTCCCTGTGAATTCAAAACACAGTCTGGGAGTCATTTAAATGAAATGCAAAACAACTTCTGTTTCACCCGCAGAAGAAAGTCTTAGTATTCTTTTGGAACCAGCAAATATTCGTCATGAGTGATTCTGTGCTGCAGAAGTATTTTTTATTATATTTTTTCCTTAACGTCTGACGACTAAAAAAATTACCTGCACTGCGTTAGTCCTGCAGCCAATAGGCTACATATATATTTATAGCTATATAAGAAAATAATCTAAGTCCTGTTGTTCTTCACAGATCAATCAGTTCAAGAAGCTGGAGCAGGAAGTGATCAAACCCGTGGAGAACGACATTACGCAGTGGACGCCCCACCAACATCTCCCTGGGACCTCGGACTCCACCTCCGCCCCGTCCCCCTCTGCTCAGGTTTGCGCCCGTGACCGCCAGCTTCTGAGCTTCTACTCAGAGCAGTGCGAGCAGCACTTTGACACGCTCCTCAGCGCCGTTGACGCCTTCTTCGGCTGCGTAAGCACCGGGCAACCGCCTCGCATCTTTGTGGCGCACAGCAAGTTCGTCATCCTCAGCGCCCACAAACTGGTCTTCATCGGCGACACCCTGTCCAGGCAGGCGTCCACTCCAGACGTGGCCAACAGGGTGATGAACTCCAGCAACGTTCTGTGCGACATGTTGAAGACTGTGGTGGCGGCCACCAAAACGGCCGCCCTGAACTACCCCAACACGGCCGCCATCCAGGAAATGGTGGACAGAGTCACCGAACTCTCACACCACTCGCAGCAGTTCAAGGAGCAGCTGCTGCACATGGCCAGTTCATGATTTTCAATCTGACCACAGACTCTATATGTAAATGAATCCAACACAAATAAATATATACAGCATATAAATATATATATATATAAATATCGCTCTCCATCTTTGCGTCCGTTTCTGATCTTGTAAATAGTCCGTTCTGTAAATATTTGCTCTATTTTTGGTGTAGATTGTTTTATATACTGAATATAATGTATGTAGATGACGTGTCGCTGTCTCTGTAGGATCCGTGGTAATTTCCATAACATTCCCGTTGTTTATCATGAAGCACCTTAAGAGACGTCTTCATTTTTTTGGCCTGTAAACCGTGGTTGACGTGTGTTTCTGCTGGTTGTTACGTTGAAGTCGTGTAAGGTACCCTAATGTCCGTGTGTGGAGAACTTCCACAAAGTAAAAGATGTTCCTAACCACACAAGTGTTTTTTTGTTTCTTTCATTTTTTTCTACTACAAACACACGTAACCATATTGGCCCAGCCTCACACACCAAATTTCATATGGAAAATCTGCAATTTTAGCCCAACAAATGTGCCACCTGCTGGTCCACTGAAGCCGTGCATGACCTTGTGACACAAGTCTGCATTAAACAAACTTGTGTGACGTTTAAATTGATGTTTAAATTTACTGATGGAAGAAGCAGTAGAAAATCAACGTTCTATGAACGTTAGTGCAGGGAATTCACAACTTGACACAAACATCAGTTTCTTCTTTCAAACTTTTCCTGAGCACCAGACTACGCCTCCTTCTAACCTCCCCAAAACCACAAAACGAGACCACCGATTTAAAGTAATAACTGCCGTTCATACAGTTACAACAGAAGTCCAACTGCCAAATGTTAACAGTAAAACAATAACCAACCAATTTGTCTCATATAAAAAAAATAAATGCCTGAAAAAATACACTTTTTCTCCTAAACACCATCTCAACTCACCACAGTCTTGTTTTTTAGGAAATGATGAAGAAATTATAAAGTGTTTGGCACCAATTTACGTTTTGCATAACAGACAAGAGAGTGATTTTGGTTTTGGTGCTGTCTCCTGTAATTGATATTAAGACGGCCCACCCGGTTGTAATTGCAGTGTATTGTTTCAGTGGCGCCCCCTTTTAGAACGAGACCATCCATGTGTATTCTGAGCTGAAGGCATTTGGACTATTGTCAAAGAAAAATCATCAAATTTAAAACACTCTTGAGCTTTTTGTGAACTAAACTAAAAGATTGATTCTGTTCTGAATACTGAGTTTCACACCAAGGAAATCAACTGATCCAAACAGAAAAAAGAGGTAACAACAAAATTTGACCAAACGCAATTAGGTTAACTGGTGAATTTTCAGTGACAAATACAAGAACCATTTCTCAAATGACCACAGACTGGGCCACTCTGAGGCTGTGTCTGTGCCACATGTGGCCCTCAGGCCACTATTTGAATGGGCAGAATCTAAAACATCCACATCCTCTTAAGCATCCACAGAACATGGTTGATTTCCAGGCATATCTAATCAGACGTGATGTAGCTTGTTGTCCAATCAGAGGCTCAGTAACATTGTTTGGCCAAACAGTTTCTCACTTTACTGCAGAACATGAGATATGACACAGGGAGGAACAATGGGGGGGGGGGGCAAGTAAAGGACGAGGAGCTGCAGCAGAAGTTCCCTGGACCGTGAGAAATGTTTTTTTTCAGAGCGAATCCTATCAGCTGCAACACATTCTCTCTGCTGTGGAGTGGACTGAATGGACGACAACGAACTGAATGAGTGTGCATGGTGTGCAGCAGGAAAACAAATGGCCTTTGTTTCTCCTTCCTTCATCTCCACCTGCAGCTCTGTCCTCTCTCTCTCTCCCTCTCTCTCCCTCATTGGATTCAGAATGAAAAATGGATCCTGCTTCTAAAAGACACTGCTCCACAGACAGATAAATGAGAATGTGAGGGGAAGACACGTCCAGGGGAGCTGTGGGACGTCCACCAATCCCCCCTCCATCCCTCAGCAAGTCCTCTCTCTATCCCTCTCTCTCTCTCTCTCTCTCTCTCACACACACACACACACACTTTACAAGTGTTTTTATTATTCACACTGCATTCCTCCCCCGGTGCTCTCTCCGGGGAGATAAGGCAGAGAGGAATCTGCGATTGGAAAGACTTTTCTACAGAGTTCCCATTTTGTCAGAGGGACACGGTAAATCAGGAGACGTCACGTCCAGCTCAGAGAACTGTCTCTCGGTTCGTCTTCTCAACAAAAGGCACCGAGGGGACAGAAACAGAGACACAACAGTTGAAGGGGAAAACTGCGCCAAAATATTCTCACATATTAAATATACTAGATTTGACTCATTCATTGTCTGACTTACAGTTATTTAGTTTCCCCGCCTTTTTGAGTCATGATGTATTTACATTTTTCCACAAAAGGACTGAAAATTTGTTCTGCCTTAAATAAACTAAAAAAGCATTTCATGAAACTAAAACTTTTTTCAAGATGTGAAGCTTACCAAAAATATTCTGTTTCTGTGACTCAAAACTGCCCTTTTAACAACACTCCCTGGTCCTTTTTGGACTAAAGGAGCAGTTTTGCATCCTTTGAGTTGCATTACTGCCCCCTACTGAGTGATCTGAGCTTTACTGCATAGTATTAAATAAAAAAAAAAAAACTAAAATATGGTGAAAAAAAAGTAGTTCAATCAATAAATGATCTCTCTCCTGGGCACATGGAACTAAAATATGGTGACTGAGTACTGCAGAGTACTGCACACAATATCTGCCAATTATTTTTGATCTTTTCTGCCACAAGTGGAATCAGACCAAACATCTCACCCATGATGACAGTCTGTGTTTAACACCACAAAAATCACCCATGATGACAGTCTGTGTTTAACGCCACAAAAAAACGTCATCACAAGGTGCTGCTGAGACGAGAGAAAGAGGGAGAGAGATTGAAAAAGAAAGGGAAAGGAGCTGAAGCTGCACCGTGGTGACGTAGCGAGGGGTCCAGACCAGACCAGACCAGACCAGAGAGCTGCTAACAGGTATGTTGGACCGCTGAAGGTGAAAATTTGCAGTGACGTGCAAAAGCTCCCAATCAAAACATCAGCTGCTCAAAGGCTCGTTCAAAGAACATCAAAATTGTTCAATATCTGCCTGCACCAAAGGCTCTGTGCATAAATATACAAACACACACATACACATATACTATATATATATGCATCTATATGTAGAGGAAAGAGAGAGCTGAGCTGCAGAGTCCACGCCATTTCCTTGGTCTACCACAAGAATTTCCTGTAAGGTATTTGCAGCCTCTGAAGTCACAGCGTGGCAGCTCAGCAGGGCCTCCTGCTCTGCTCTGAAGAAACAGGGGCCCTGCAGCTGCAGGCAGACACGCTGCCAGATCTGAGAGAGGAGGTGGCATCCTCAGGTTTTCAACACACAAACTGCCAGCAAAAGGTCTGTGGGCAAGGGACAAAGTGCTTTCCTATTTCTGCACATTGAGACTTTTGAGTCCCACCACCAGCTAAACGTGTGACAAAGTGCTTTCCTATTTCTGCACATTCAGACTTTTGAGTCCCACCACATTCATAACAACACAGATGTAGGTCTTATCTGCACGTAATGACAGCTGATATAGGGTTACTGAGGTTGGTAGAATCCAGTAAAAACTGGTCAGAACTGGGCACAAAGGTCAAAGGATCAAAAAGGTTTAGGTGCCTGAAACACTCAACGCCTGGTTTTTACTTGTGCATCTGCATATTTAGTCCATAAAAGAAACAGAGAGAAGAAGACAAAAACAGGCACCAGGAATATGGTTGGTTTTGCAAAATATCGCCATGATTTGACTTCCGTTTAAATGTCCCGCCCAATTTGACGAAAATAGGTTTTCGTTTTTTTTAAATGACGACATAGCACTGTTGACACAGACGTATCTGCAGGAGCATAAATGAAGCTTTCGGTGGATGAAAGGGTAAAAAGTTACTCCTTACAACTCCAGTTATAACTCAAGGAAGAGCGAGTCTGTTTTATTGATGGCATAATTTAACATTAAAATCTCTTTCTGTCCCTTTGAAGTCAGAACAGCTGCTGCAGCCTCATTAACTCAGCTCTAATTAAACCACACGGGCGAAATAAAGTTCATTAGAAGACGTTTAAATGGGAAAAAAAGAAGTTCATTTCGACAGACCTGAATCCCATTAACGATCAAAGACAAACACATGAAGTACTTTGTTTTTTTGGTAAAGTCACAGATTTAACACAAACTGTTACACACATTCACAAATCTTCTCAACAGTTGGTGTAAGTGTTGAAGGACTGGGGAGGTTTTACTAGTTGTTCTGCATTTAAAAAGTACTTATTAAACCAAGGGAGAGTGGTTGCGATTTATGTTGCGTTACTGCTATTAAAAACGCAGGAAAGATTTGAAGGGTTTACTTAAAGTTAGAACAACAACTACTTCGTTTCATAACCTGAAGTTTTGTCGTTAGTTTAAATTTTTGAATTAGTAACCCAAACGTGTTTCTCCGTTATTTTTTTTCTCACACAAATAGCCAATATTCAGTCATTCAACCAACTTGTAATGCTACTTACCGCTGAGGAATTTCTTCTGTTGGTTCAATGCTGCCATCTTGTGTTCGAACTGTAATGTAGCACTGGGAACTGAAGCTTATCTTCTTTTTTCCACGATATACAAAGTTCGGCTCTCCTCTTGGGCCTTAAGTGGCGTCCTGTCTGAACAAACCCGCATCTTAATAACTTCATCATGGCCATAAATATTATCAATATTATGCAGAAATTCACCATAACGAGTCGTTATATCCTAGCAACAAATTAACGAAGCAATTAAGCTACAGGTATGACAATGTACATAACAAACGTCAACAACATACTACAATATTATTACAAAGACAAAAAACATTTTACTCACCGACACTCCTGGTTATTTGTACACCAAATCCATCCTCCTGGCTCTCCTTAAGAAGACTTTAATGAATCTGTTGTACAAATTATCCGTTGCCGTTCCAACGTCAAGTCCATCTCCAGCTATGCTAATGAGCTAATGCCGAAAGTCCTGTTTGTCCAGCCGTATACATGCATGAGAGTTTAACCAGCTTTAGGTCGAGAATGTTCGCTCGACAGTGAAGCAGTGGACGAAAAGAAAACTTGATTTTCGACACTTTAACCATTGAATTAAATCACTTAAATCGCCAACATAACTGAAGGCCTGTTAGCGGGCCTCAGTGACGCCGAATCAAAATCTGATTGGTTAAGGAAACAATCTGTCTGCCATTCGGTTTAGGCTCGTATGGCCCAATAGCCCTTAGGGCAGATTTCTTTCCCCGTAGCAACACATGAGGCTGAAATATGATTGGAGAAAACCCTTCTCAAAAAATATAAATTAATGAAAGCCGCGAAACCAAGAGAACATTTATTAAGTGATTTAACCAGACTACTCTACCTTGTTTTATAACTATTTGTGATAAATATATTGAAAAATAAGTCACTAATTCTGATAGTTTAGAGTAGCAGAAAATACTTTGCTGTTAGGCAACTGACTTATTTATTTTTGTTTTTTTCTATAAAGATAATTTAATGTAATTTTTTTATTTACTTGTATACCTTTTGTGGTTGTCTTTGTTGGTTCTTGATGAGTTGTTTTTCATTTTCACATTTCTTTTTCAATTTTTCTCACCTATTTAAATAACTGTTTGATGAAATAGAAATAATTGAAATATACATTAAAAAACACTCCTCCTCCATCCTGCAATACCATACTTCATGCACTTAAAAATGCAAATAACACAATGGTTTTGCATTTATGGCATTATTTATTTGAAGCTATAGCTCCATTTTAGGACCCAAAAAAGTCAGTGAATAAAAAAAAAGGTGCAGTGGATACACAACTTGTCTCCATAGGGAATATTTAACCCCCAGCTCCTGGTTAGCTCAAATTCACCCTCTAACGTCAATCAGGAAGTTACAGGAGGCCATGTAACAAACAGTGGATGTGATGTATGATGTATGATGACGATGACAGGCACTGGTGCAGACAGCAGGACAGAGACGCCCGGGCAATACATTTTTTCCACGATATACAAAGTTCGGCTCTCCTCTTGGGCCTTAAGTGGCGTCCTGTCTGAACAAACCCGCATCTTAATAACTTCATCATGGCCATAAATATTATCAATATTATGCAGAAATTCACCATAACGAGTCGTTATATCCTAGCAACAAATTAACGAAGCAATTAAGCTACAGGTATGACAATGTACATAACAAACGTCAACAACATACTACAATATTATTACAAAGACAAAAAACATTTTACTCACCGACACTCCTGGTTATTTGTACACCAAATCCATCCTCCTGGCTCTCCTTAAGAAGACTTTAATGAATCTGTTGTACAAATTATCCGTTGCCGTTCCAACGTCAAGTCCATCTCCAGCTATGCTAATGAGCTAATGCCGAAAGTCCTGTTTGTCCAGCCGTATACATGCATGAGAGTTTAACCAGCTTTAGGTCGAGAATGTTCGCTCGACAGTGAAGCAGTGGACGAAAAGAAAACTTGATTTTCGACACTTTAACCATTGAATTAAATCACTTAAATCGCCAACATAACTGAAGGCCTGTTAGCGGGCCTCAGTGACGCCGAATCAAAATCTGATTGGTTAAGGAAACAATCTGGCTGCCATTCGGTTTAGGCTCGTATGGCCCAATAGCCCTTAGGGCAGATTTCTTTCCCCGTAGCAACACATGAGGCTGAAATATGATTGGAGAAAACCCTTCTCAAAAAATATAAATTAATGAAAACCGCGAAACCAAGAGAACATTTATTAAGTGATTTAACCAGACTACTCTACCTTGTTTTATAACTATTTGTGATAAATATATTGAAAAATAAGTCACTAATTCTGATAGTTTAGAGTAGCAGAAAATACTTTGCTGTTAGGCAATTGACTTTTTTATTTATTTTTGTTTCTATAAAGATAATTTAATGTAATTTTTTATTTACTTTTATACTTTTTGTGGTTGTCTTTGTTGGTTCTTGATGAGATGTTTTTCATTTTCACATTTCTTTTTCAATTTTTCTCACTTATTTAAATAACTGTTTGATGAAATAGAAATAATTGAAATATACATTAAAAAACACTCCTCCTCCATCCTGCAATACCATACTTCATGCACTTAAAAATGCAAATAACACAATGGTTTTGCATTTATGGCATTATTTATTTGAAGCTATAGCTCCATTTTAGGACCCAAAAAAGTCAGTGAATAAAAAAAAAGGTGCAGTGGATACACAACTTGTCTCCATAGAGAATATTTAACCCCCAGCTCCTGGTTAGCTTAAATTCACCCTCTAACGTCAATCAGGAAGTTACAGGTGGCCATGTAATAAACAGTGGATGTGATGTATGATGTATGATGACGATGACAGGCACTGGTGCAGACAGCAGGACAGAGACGCCCGGGCAACACAGACCAGAAGGTTCAGCTTCTCAACCAGGTCCAGGAGCTGTTCCTCAACAGAATCTGTCGACACACCTAAAAACGTTCATCTGACTCTTCAAGTAAAATGAATACTATTTAAAATAATAAAAACATGTGTATGAGCTCTGCCGTTTGTGTCAGACTATTATTTCTGGACAGTTATCTCCTCACAAATCCAGTGAACCATGAGAGGAACAAGACAACGACAGCCTGGACGTTCCCTCACCGTCAAGTCTTCCAAGAAAGAGAGGTCACACTTTCTATTTGTTCCTGTTGAAATGCCACAGACAAGCCCAGGAGTCTGAAGGAAATACATAATGACATGTATGGAGGAGGACAGATGTGTGAGGGAGAAGCTTCCTGAACTCCATAAAGATGTTAGACTGAAACAGGTTATTAAAACTAAATAATCCACAGAAACGTGCAACAGTCAATGGCTTTTCCCTTTAAAAACCCAGCAGCTCGGCCCGGTCTGTTTGAAGTGTCCTGGTGAGGAGAGAGGAGGTCAAATACTGAATGTGGACATGGTCCAAGTGTGATGTAGTGTCAAGTCAGTGGTGAAAACGTGTGATGTTTGTTGTCAGAGTGAGACATCTTCACGATCTAGGAGGACGTTTCTGAAAAGGCCACCCTTTGGCGCGCAGTCCTGGGGCGATTTCGAGTGGTGGCGCTGGCTGAGTGTTCGCTCTTGGGTTCAGCTGGTTGGGTTTCAGCCTGCGGGGTGCTGGCGTCCCCTACCAGTTCTCGCAGGAACTTGAACTTGGACAAGAAGAGCTGCCAGACCACATACCAACCTGTGGACACACAGATGAAAAGAATTTGACGGTGGACTCATGAGCGTACATGAAGCCAATGTTCAAACACAAATTAAATGCATAAAGGGCGCAAGAAACAGATTCTATTTCAATTATAGACTCAGTTTTAGGATGCAGGACTATTGCACCAAAACTAGTAAGTTGATGGAAAGTGCAAAAGACACGTGTAGCACGCAAATTCAAAACATGGCATCCTTATTGACAGCCACCTTCAGGCGTGTCAAGGAGTGGAGATCATGAATAAAACAATGTGTCATTTTTTTCTGTTGCAAATCCTGCTTTACTTGTAGTATAAAGCACTCGGTTTACACTCAAGTTGAAGACACAGACAGAAGACAGAAGAGACTCGTCAAGTGTGACCTCAGCGCCCGGAGATCATATCAGTGACAGTTGGTATTGGGAGGATCCAGAGGTCACAGAGGTGAAGGACTTGATTATGATCTTGTGCTCAGTCCAGGTTATAAAAAGAAACTCCTGACTGAAAACGTGTGGACACTTTATACCCTGACCTGGTTACCACCGGCTAAATCCAGACTACAGGTTCTTCACTCATCTACTGTGCCCTCTGAGGTTGACACTGTCTGCATCAGTATATTGCAGCCATTTTAACACACACAGAGTCAGTCACAAACCTTTTGAGATTACAGAACATTTGTGCAACTCCTATATATATCCGCCCCGTATGGCCTGTCTCCTCTGACATGTGTTTTGTGTTGACTTTAGTCCACGCTACAACTGTGTTTGACAGCCGTGAATGTTTGGACTGAAGACAAAACCGTTTGCTATGACTCCATGTGTCACATAAACTCACCAAACATCATGAAGAGCAGCGCACACACCAGTGTGGCCACAATGACCAGCAGCGTGAGCCCGACACTCTGCCACATGTTTACGGCAGCAGCAGCAGCTTCATAGAAGACGGAGGGACGGCGGCGACTATACACTGCTCGGCAGCAGAAAAAAATAAAAACAACAACAACAAATGAACAACCTATTCAACTGTCAGTTAGACTAACATAAATAAACACAATTACTCACAGCAGTGTCAGTTAGCATGTGGCTAAGCTAACAGCTGACCTCAGTAGTTCAAAGTATCCTCGAGCCCAGCGAGGACTGAGACCTGAGCTACCGCTATAGCCTGTTAGCAGCAGACTTGTAAACAACTCTCCTTGGAAACTACATCGCTGTAGTTTATTTCGGCTAGTCGGTTGGTTGGGCTCGTTGGCGAATTCTCACTTTTCTCTGACAGAGCCAACTGCTCAGCGCCGGGATAACTGGACAACAAAAACATGCGTCATCAAACTTCATACGACACTGCGGCTGCGCGCGGTGTTTGATGCATTCTGGGGAGTGTAGGTATAACCATCTGTTTGCAATCACGGTATTTCCCCACTAGAAGGAGCCATTGTCCAACCAGCACCGTTGCTGTCAGGAAATAAACTACCTGATCGAGGAGTACTGCATATTACTGCAGTTTTATGGTGGTGGAGTAGAATAGCACGTGTTTCAGACTACAAATATATTCTATTTCTATTTATTTATTTTAATTTTTAACCACGTCATTGATTAGTTTGTTGATAGATAAAGATAAAGACCAGATGTGAACTTTCGTTCTTTCTGGTTGTGCACCATGAGTAACATGCAAAAATGTTACTCTGTGTGGCCGAAATGACGAAGAAAGGTCGCTCTGATAACGAGATAGAAGTGGTTAATGCTGATGAGACTACTGTGACACCTACACCTTAGTGGTTGGAGAAAGTAGGTCATGGCTAATGTCTGAGCTGCTGCACACTCTTCATGGAAACAAAATGCTGGGGCAGTGCGATCAGGGGGCCAGATTAGTCTACGACAGGATGTGTCGGAAAACGCAAACTCCGGCTGACGCCACCTGTCACACGATCATCGCCTCTGACGAAAAACTAAAAGAAAAAAAGAAAAGAAAAAAGAACATAACAAGAATATTCCCATTTCTTGGCTTGTGGCCACTTGTTCGTCCTCTTTTGGCAGCCATCCTGTGATTTGCATATAAGGTGAAGAGTGATTGAGTCATTCTTTACAGTCGCATTTTAAACATGTGTGAGTTGAGGGGGGGGGGGGGGGGGGGAAACAGCCCAGGTATGTGACTCCAGCCTTACAGACACTTCTGTTTATTCAGAAAACTGCTCTAGAAGAATGTTATACTTTGTTTGGTATACACACACACACACACACACAGAGAGAGAGAGAGAAAAAATGACAAAATATACAGTACATGTTTACTTGACCCCAGAAGGTTCAAATATTGTGTGAAAATTGTATTTGTACGTGACATATACCCATCAAACTGCAGTAGTGTTGTGGTTAGCAGTAGTGCTAACCACAATGAGGTGAAAGCTTCCGTATTAGTTATTTACTTGTCAAATAAAGATGAGATTATAGTGGCTAAAAGTTCAAAGACAAACACCCTTAAGTTAGCAGCGGGTTAGCTAAAATGCCTCTGCTAACTAAATTAGAAGCTATTTAACTCCATTAGACACAAATAAATATTTTTCCCCAGTGTAGTTACTGAAAGTTGTGTGCTAGCAATTGCGTACAATTAGCATGCTAGCCATAGCAACCGGGAGCGTTTAATGCCCGTGAGGACAAAGGACAATTAATGAAATTGCTTTGAAAATGAAACATTTGACCAAACGACTTTAATGAGTACCTGTACGCACACACACATACAGAGAGAGAGAAAAAAATGACAAAATATACAGTACATGTTTACTTGACCCCAGAAGGTTCAAATATTGTGTGAAAATTGTATTTGTACGTGACATATACCCATCAAACTGCAGTAGTGTTGTGGTTAGCAGTAGTGCTAACCACAATGAGGTGAAAGCTTCCGTATTAGTTATTTACTTGTCAAATAAAGATGAGATTATAGTGGCTAAAAGTTCAAAGACAAACACCCTTAAGTTAGCAGCGGGTTAGCTAAAATGCCTCTGCTAACTAAATTAGAAGCTATTTAACTCTATTAGACACAAATAAATATTTTTCCCCAGTGCTAGCAATTGCGTGCAATTAGCATGCTAGCCATAGCAATGGGGAGCGTTTAATGCCCATGAGGACAAAGAACAATTAATGAAATTGCTTTGAAAATGAAACATTTGACCAAACGACTTTAATGAGTACCTGAACGCAGGAAGAGACCTTTTTCACACACTGCTGAACATTTCCTTCTCTTCCATCCACCCGGGTTTGTGTCTGTTATTTGCATAGAAGTCAAGTGTGTACATAAGGAACCTATAGAGTACATTAAAATAGCAATGCATTTTTAATTTTTGTTCAGGGAAATGCAAAGTGGAGAAAACCGTTCTTCTTTCTTTTGTTGATCTCTCTCACTGACGCACAATAAGACTGTGACGTGTGATCCAGTGTAACAGAGCTGGTGTCTACGTGCACTTGGGTGGTGTGGCTCATTAGGCCTGCTCCAAAAAAAACCCAAAAAAAAAAAAAAAAAAAGGTTTGAAGTAATGAAGAACAAGTCGTGACAGATCACAGGCTCATTATGTCGTTAACAACCCGCACTACCACGGGTGACCTGTTGACACTGCACCATCGGGCCGCGCAGCACACATTTGATGAACCCCGTCGAAGTCCTTGGAGGCAAAGACAACACACCTGGTCTGAACATTTACAGCAGGAAGTGAACATTCCTAACGTATACACCGACTGTACGTTAAGGTGGAGACAGGCTGTCAATCATTCAACACCTAGAGGTGTTATCTCCACTGGATGACTTTTTTTAATGGTGTAGTCGTTTACATTAATGTATTCAGCAGATGCTTTTCGGCGTGCTAACCGCTACACTAGACACTTATACCCAAACTACTGTTGAAATAGTCAAAAAGATAAAGCTAGTTCCACAAAACTAAACTGAGCTCAAATTAAACCTCGCCCACAGAAAAAAAATTTGTTTCCAAAACGGAAATGTCTCTCGTTTCTCCTGAACCATAAAGGAGGAACAGTAAATAGATGAAGTCTTTTCACAGCAGACACCAGTACCAGGAACCAGGGACAGAGCCAGGAAGTACAGAAGAAGAGTGTTCCCGGTCAACAGTGGGAGTTCCAGGAAAGGGTTCCAATTACAATGTTCTAAGTGGAAATGATTTAGTATTCACTCTGGGAACGTGCTGTATTTCAGTCTTTTGCTGGAGATGTTTAACAAAAAAAAAACAGAGGCTGAAAAATATATATATATATAGTATGTCTGTTCATCTCCAAAAACAGGACATTTGATCATGGACTGACCTCTTCTGGCTCGGTTGTGCATTTACGCAGTGAAGAAAAATGCAGAATTTAAATTCAATTAGAATGTTGTACTCTAGTACTACACACTCACACAGGTTGTGTGTGAGCCGTCAAAGACGTGACACACAGATGTTTAGAGAGCCTTCGCTCCAGAGCAGGACTCACCCGTCCATGTGTCATCACCTTGTTGTCTCCCCTCTTTGTGTCTCCTGTTTCTGCGTTCCTATAAAAACTGTTTCCTGTTCCTGACCTTGACTGACTTACCCCCGAGTTAGAGTTTGAGTTTATTTGTAGGATTAACGCAGGGGTGAACTGCACAGACAAGTGCATTCCTGTGAGAAGTGCCTTCCATTTTTTTTTTTTACAATGAACGTCGCATAATAAAATAAGAGTGAAACACGTAGCGTGAGGACTGACTGTGGAGGAGCAGCAGGAAACTGTCACATGGTTACACGGAGTCACTGGGTATTGGCAAGAATTTGGCAATACGATACGTATCACGATGCATGGGCGACAATACGATATATTGCGATACATTGTGATAGTATAGAAACGACGATAGAGGAGGAAAATGCACACGTTGTACTGCGCCAATATGACACATAACAGATTTGGTTTTACTCATATCATCCACGACACCACACAGCGTACACAATATGTAAAACATATCAAACATATCAAAGACATTAAGTGACTAGTCCTAGATTTCACATTTTTGGTTTAGCCGTTTTAAGAACGTCAAGTTACAAATGCTTGACTATTTTGGGCCTTATCACTGTCATGGTTTGGGGCTGTATTCCAGGCAGGTTTAACACAGTTTTATCCCGTACCTAATAAGGCGGACACTGCACATACCTGTGAAACTGACGTCATAAAGATACAATTTGTATCAACTGCACATCTGTGTAATAACAGGTGGATACCACATTACAAATCACACAAACGCATGTTTGTCACAAAGTTCTCCCAGCCCTGACCGCGTCCGTCTCCTCAGAGACCGGGCTTCAGGCTGGACCCGTCTCATCTGAGAGACGGGTTCTGACTCTGCAGCATCAGGATCTCAGCCACCAGCACCTGTGGGTCCATCACCTGAGGGAGCAGGTCCATGGCGGCGTCCACCAGGTGAGCGCTGAAGATCGCCAGGAGTTTCTTCCGGACCACGTCCCTCTCCTCTCTGCCGGGAGCGGACTGCGTGGCCTTGGGCGGCTCCCACTGGGAGCGCTCCCCCGGCCGACCGTGGACCACGTGTTGGTGACCCGCGTAGGAATCGGACCAGTACGTCTGCTGCTGGTGTTTATGGACTCTGCTGTGCTGAAAATCCGACGGCTGGCTGTAGGCGGTGGGCGCGCTGAGCGGGTAAGCACCGTATCCGTGGTAGGGCGGGGGGCCGTGCACCGCCCTGACGTTGTGGTGGGGGCTGTGAAAAGCGCCCAGAGCCGACGGACCGTGTGAGCAGCAGCTGCACGGAGAACCTCTCGGAGGTTGATGCTGTCGTACGTTGTGAACGTGTTGGCCCCCCCTCGGCGCCGGCCCGTACTGGTAGTCACACGGACTCCAGGGCGCGTCTATTAACTGACTGTCGATGGAGCCCAGCCCAGAATCCAGCTGCTCGTGGGATTCGCCGTGGTCCGAGACAGAAGGGCGTTGGCTGTTCTTGTCCTTCCGGGGCGTGGCCTTCTTGCTGGAGCGGTGACCGGTCTTCACCTGCTCCAGTTTGTGGTCCTTCTTCCCAGAGCTGCTCTCGTGTCCCAGACTCAGTTTCTTGGCCATGTCCTCCACCAGCAGGAGGCTCTGTCCCGGTTCAGGGCTGGAGCTACATGAAGACGTTCTCTGAGTGGCCGCGCTGTGTTTGGCGTTCTCCCACAGCTCGTCGGCAACCAGCCGATTGGACTGTTTGGCCCGTTCCGGGTGGTGGAATTTACATTTGATACCATAAGTGCACTTCTTTCCTGAAACCAAATGAAAAACATTTTGTGAGCGACTGCGACGGCTCTTTGAAGTCTGCAGAGAAGAACCAGTTTGGTGAGGTCGTAAATGTTACAATGGTTGGACTGATTATAGCTGGAGATGGAAACCTCTTAACAAATCAACATTAGTTCAGAGTTTGGAAACTCTGAAGCAAATGTTGGCGTAGGGTGAAGCCAAAGATGAAGGAGGGCAACAGAAGCACCGGGATTGGTTTATTTTTCAGCTTTGAACCTAATGATGGAAAACCATTACCATAGGGACACGGGTGTTTTTTCGGAATCTTTGGAAACTTGCGCAGGAAGTTCTCCAGAGTCGGTCCGTGGCGACCAAGAGGATCGTCAGGCGGCATAAACCTGCATCGGAGAGACATGCAGTCGTTAATCACAGAGTACAGCGGCGCTTCTCTTCTTCTTCATTGGAAACAATGATGTTAGGGTTGTCGCCCCCTGCTGGCCACCTGGGATTTTCACGGGACGTGTTACTACAAGTTAACGCTCAGGTTTTAGTTTGTTCAAACCAAAATTAACACAACTGTGGAGTGGATCCAGGCCAAATAAAGTACGGTACGACCCGGGCCGGTTCGACAAGCCCAGAATAACACCCTGACCCATAGCTAGCCTTTACTACAGTAGTCAAGTCAACTAACTAATGACTCAACCAAGTTACGATCCTCAATGGAGGTAGACTCAAGTACCATACTATTGAAGTGTCGTGGTCTGCTGTCAATCAAAGTACCGTTTCCTCCTGAGGTCCAGTACTGAAAACTCACTTGTTGTTGACAAAGGAATACATGAGCAGCCTCTCGTCGATGAATCGCTTCCACTCCGGCTTCTCTCCCTGAAGATCCCGGTACATGTCGTTGGACACGATGACGCCGTCCGACTCGAAGCCGTGCTTGACTATGAAGCAGTCGTCGTTGCAGACCACGCGCTTGCCTGCGACACGCCTGGAGGGAGTGAACACTAAAATCTTTCTTCTCTCCAGGTCGCGTAGGATGTGCTGATCTGTGAACCCAACACAGAGAAGGTCACTGGACGTCACAGCTCGTATTTACTGACAGATGATTTAGAACATGTCAACACACTGGGGGCATGAACACGATATTTCCTCTGCTTTTGGTTTTTGTCTCTTCCAAGACAACAAACAAACTATATTTTGGACACTAACATCACAGAATCATCAGCATATCTGTTGAGCTAGCAGGAGATTTGCAGTGTCTCAGAGGCAAAATTGCTGATTTCTTCTGTGGGTTTTTGGTGTAGCTGCACAAATATCAGTTTCGAAAAGTTGTCTTTTCAATAGTGAAATTATTCAGCCTACGAGTTCTGAAGGTGATGCAAATGTAGCTTTGTTTCTTTGGTAATGACTGTGTCAGATTTAAAAACAAACTGCACTCCAAAGGCCCAAAACAATTCTGTTTGAACGTTGCATTTCAATCACACTCAAAAGGTATTAAAAAAAACAAAAAAGCACCAAATTGGGCCGCGGTGAATCATAAGCCGCTTTTAAATGTAGGTCAATAAAATCTGAGCTGGATCCATAAATTACTAATGAAGCTAATTTGCTTGTAGGAAATTCTGTCAACACTCGGGTTTTCCCTGCCAACGCAATAAAACTCACTGAGTCATGTCCTGTTTCTGAATCTAAGATGTCAGCTTTTCATGATCGCAAAAAAGTCACAGAGACGGAGGGTAAAAATTCCCCTGAAAGACGATAACAGCTGTGGAGCGGGTCACATCTGGGTGTTTGGGTGTCGCTGTCTCTGCAGGTTTGGTTAAAGTTTCCTAAAACATGATCTAATCATCGGTTCGATGGTGAAGGTGATGGAGGAAGTAGATGATTCTGTAGGTTTTTCTGGCTCTCTTTCTGTCACCAACCTGTGATGGGAACGTCCGGCCGCGGCTGCTCCTTCCTCCACGAGGGGACAAACACGGTGACATCAGTGTGGCCTCTGTCCAGGAAGTAGTTGACTGCCAACTGGATTCCCAGACAGGAGAAGACTTCCTTGTTTCCGTGGCTAAATCAGCGAATAAATGACAACAAAAAAATTTTAAAAAAAATCTGTGAAAACTCCTACACATCGACAATATGAAAAGTTTTTCCTGGTTGCCTGTTTCTGATTGAGACAAATATTTTCACATCAGTCTTGGCTAACTTCAAGCTAGCATTGGGTTATCTTTTAGTAGTCTTCTATGTTAACTTTTCGTCAAGTTGTTATCACCACGTAGTGACTTCTCTGACTTTGTTTTGACTAACTTTCATTGTTGTTATTTTTTTATTTACTTGGTTTTAAAGTTAACTGTTAGCCTTTAAGTAGCACATGTTAAAGTTGACATTATTTTTTTTTTCTTTTATCCAACTTTTAGGACCAGGCTTTTTTTTTAGCTTTAGCCTAGCTTCCGTGTAGGCTGTTAAAGAAAACCTTTTTTTATAGAAATGTGTTGTTGGTTTTTGCTTTTATACTGTATGTTGATTTTTTTTTATAGGCTACAGCTACAGCTATTTTACCATTTATTGCCAACAGTTTGCTAACTAAGCTCGTCGCTTCCATATTATTCATAATCCCAAGATTATATATAATCGTTAGTAGTTTATTAAAGTAAATGGAGAGGGCGGTAATTAGTGTAGAGAAGCAGACAATGATTCCATTATTCAAATCAACAGACTTACATAATGAGACGTTATATAAATACCAACAATGCATGAATTACAGTCATTATATTCATTACCAAACATGGCCTGATCCAATTAATGTTATATTCTTTCTCAGACAAGTTCTCAGACAACAAATAAAATAGTTGTTTCTATTTGACATCAGGTCAACAAAGAACCGAGGCTGAACTATTATTTTTAATATAATTTTTTATAACTAAACGTACTGTCTGTCTTTGAAAAAAGCTGAATGAAGAGGAGCAACACTACAGGGCATAATGTTGTAATGACTGTTCCAGAACTAATGAGGTCGGAGCAGCTGTGAAAACACACACACACACACACACACACGTACGTATGCGGGCTGATTTGCATACTCAAGCGGCTCGTTTACAACATGTCTGAACGGGCGTGCCCGTCTCAGGCAGCTGGAAGGACAGAGTGTGTTCTTTACACACTGGATTTGGTTCACTCAATAAATCCACCCATTGTTCTCACACTTTATTTGTCAAATCTATTTTTTTTTCCAACAGTGTCCTCATGGAGAGAGTCACCGGCGCAGCGTTCACTAAGAAGTGGAAATAACTAATCGACATGTGATCAACACATTTGAATATCATTTAATCTAATCTAGTCTAAACCAATCAAATCCGACCTAATCTAATCTAATCTAATTCTATCTGTCCAGGAATTATCTTCGTTTGACCGTTACTTTAGAAAACTATTCCAGAAAACAGTTCCTGTCAGTTCCAGGAATTGCTTCAGTACCACTTGACCCTTTTTCAGGGAGCCAATCCCATGGGTCCTCATACAGGGGCCTGGAACACACTGGGGATCGAACCAGCGACCTACTTGGGCATGTAAGGCAAAAAGCACCGACCGCCGTGTCACCGTGCGAGCCACGTGTGTCCTGTCGTGTGAGTACCCTCAGCCGTGTGTACTCAGGTGTACGGAGGTGAAGTACAGCAAACAAAACCTGTTGTTTCTGTCACGATGACTCCGCACGTCGTTGACCTTTAACTGTGTTTCATGTTTGGATGCCTCTGCACCCACTCAAAGCGAAGGAGGATGGAACCGTTGGCAAACGGTCGGCATGCGTACAATGCCAAGCAGTAAATATTTGGCTGGTCCGCTGCTGTTTTACGGTAAATATGAGAACAAACCTGAGATGTCGGTAGACGAAGGTTCAGACGAAGTCAAACCTCAGACCCAACTGCCCTCGACCACAAACAAACATGCTTTCACTCACACTTGACTTGAATCAGACGGAAACTACAGATGACCTGGAATCTGTCAGAAATGTACCAGCAAAATCTGACACGAAAAAAAACCCCCACAGTGAGATCAAACAGTCAGACGACGACGGCTGAAACGGATGAAAGACACATTTCTGGCAGCTGTGAAATGAAACCCATTTTCCTCCGTGTTGTGGAGTTAAATAAACATCTTACTCTCCTACGTCTCCAGAAAAATCACCTTTTAAGATGTAAGCTAATATTTTTTAATTTTAAAAATCGATTTCGGGGTGTAACCGTAACGCCAACAACCGAGTGAAACGTATTTGGCGGCAACAAACCTGACCTGTCAAATTGCTAACACTTAGCAAAGACGTTTTTTCTTCTCACTGATGTCGTTGATGTGACGTTGATACATGTCATGGTCGAAAAGTAACGTGTCGCTGTAGTGTCAGTGTAGTGTTCTGACCTGGTCTGTTGTTGTCTGTAATAATCCAGCGTTCTCCTCCAGAGTTGACAAACAACAACATGTTTTTCCCGTTCTTCCCTGCCTTTAATCTATTAAAATTAAATGTTGTTTAAACATAATTAAACATAAACAAACTGTGTGTGCAAACAGCTGCACACTGACGTCCCATCATCATTAGCCGCTGAAGGCTGTTCTAATAGTTAGCCTAGGCTAAACGGTTTGCTTTTAAATTTTCTTTTTTTTTTATTGATAGAAAAAAAAGTTAAACTTGATGATGATTTTTGACTTTTTTTTCAAGTGGTTTTTCTCTATTTTTTGACTTATTTGTTTTTTTTTTGTTTCTATAATTTGACACAATGCTACATTTTTTTTAATAGAACGATGTCATGTAGGAGAATGTCATGAACAAAAATGTCATCATGAATAAAAATAATTTTGCTAAACAAAAATATATTTAAAAAAACGTATATGTAAATGTATAATGTATGTATTATAACTGTTGAGCTGTGATTACGCTTGGATTCGTTGTCTGACTGTTGTCTGACTGTTTTTACTGTCGTGGTCGCTCCTGTCTCCTCACCTCATGGCCACGTTGCTGCCGTCTATGACGATGGGTCTCAGAGCGTCCTCGTCCTCGCCGCTGTCCTCTCTGCCCTGCAGAACCGATGCAGGGACAGGCACCTGAATAGTCGGGCCAGGAAGCTGCTGGAAGTCTCCTCTGGGCAGCACCACCGACACGGTCACGGGCCCCTGCTTCACCTCCTGCTGCGGCCCGGTCTTCACCAGCTCCCCCAGAATTTTATCTGTGTCCGTGTTGGGGCCAAACTTTTGCTGGACGGCCCGAACCTGAGCTGTGGAGTAGCCCAGCTTGTGGAAGAAGTCCATCTGGGCGTCCAGGGGCTGGAGCTCCACGTATGGGTCGGAGTCATCGGAATACATTTTCTCACAGCAGTACGGAGCGGAGTTCTGGGAGGGCAGCGGTGAAGGGAGGCTCCATGTGGCTGCGTCGTTGTCTGCGGGGGTCAGACAGGTGGTGGGGGGGGGTTTACTCCAAGGGTGTACAGACGGAAAGAAGGCAACGTCAGCATTCATCCCTTCACCCTCGGTGCCGCTCTTCTACTTCATGAACAGCTTTGATTTTTTTCCGTCCAATCCTGAAACACACACGAGCGGAAAACACTTATATTCAGTATTACGTCATATGCAGATGATGTCTTACTATTCACAAAAAGGACCAAACTAAACGGACTGATGTACAACATAAAATATGTACTTATCTAATATTTTTATTGCAAAATTGCTAAAAAACATGTTAGCAAAAATACTTATAAGTTAACAAAGGAATGTTGCTAACGTTAAATGTTGGACACACTTGCCATTTTTTTTTTCTAAAATTGTTACTGACACAACTTCAAATAAATGCTCGTCATTTCTATAGAATATAATTTAGCTGCATGTAATGACCGGGGTTATTTCGCAAAAAAAAAATGTAGTGAAAATATACACATGTCAGAAACTGACGTTCGCTCCGACGAGTGCATTCATTATTATTCATATTACTATTGTACAACAGACATACAAGAACCCGCAATATTTAACAAATTTAGAATAAATAAACCATATTATTTTTTATTTGTCTCAATTTGCGTCACTTTAACTGATAAAAATTAAATACATTACAAGGAAAATAAAAAGATTCATCTCTACACGTCCTTCTCTCCGTGACACACCCTGTGGTAGTTCAAAAGCACCGCTTGTTTTATCACATTTAAGTATTTAAGTATTTAAGTGAGAGATTACAGCATCATCAGGATCAAACGCTCACGGTTTCATGAATCGAGGTCCAGTGTCAGCCTGTCTGGATGTTAAACATGACAGGAACTGGTGTTCAGATGGTTAAGACACGGGCGTCCAATTACATTTAGTTGAAAAACCACTTTCCTTTATTTCCTTTAATTCCCCAGGGGAACTCCCGAGGGATTAATAAAGTTCTACCTCCCGACCGACCGGCCGGCCGACCTATCATCCATCTATCTTATTTTGAATACTTTAGGACAAAATTATCTGATTGATTAAAAACCGTCAGACATTCAAAGAAAATCATAAATCATATAAATTAGTCTATTCTGAGATTGAAAAGTAGATCACGATCCTGTCTTGTCGCTGACTTTTACATTGAAACAACACAGTGTGCAGAGATTTAAGGTGGAACAGTTTGAATCCACTGTTCACAGAGTGAAGTTCAATCCTGACTTTCAGTCTTAAGGATGTAAGAGTTTACACCCACAGTCAGCCACGGATGTCATTTACTAAATAAAGTTTAAACCGTTTAAAATGAAAGAAAGAAAGAAAGAAACTCAGTAGTTGAACCTACCTGTGGCGTCCGAGTGTAAAACTGAGCCTCTCTCTCTCTCTCTCTCTCTTTCTCTGTGAGTGTGTTTCCTCCTTATGTGATCAGGTCTGAAAACACACGTCAGGCTCCGTGAGAACCTGTGAGCAGGTATGAGGAAGTGACTTCTGCTCTTCTGTTTCTTTTCTCTCTGACTTTCTCTTTAAATGACAGCTGCAAAAAACAAGGCAACCCAAGAAGGAGGAGGAGGAGAAGGAGGAGGAGGAAGAGGAGGAAGAAGAAGAAGAGGAGGAGAATGTTTTATGGCCTGCCTATAAAAAATGAAGGCGCTGTTTCACCTGTTACCACTAGAGGTCATTAAAGATTTTTTTTTTATCTCCAGCTGGCCTAAAGATTGAGTCAATAAGGGGGTTCCCAACCACTGGGATGGGGACCAGTGGTTGGCCGTGGATGATCATCATTGGTACCAGTCTGTTATAGTGAGATTTTTTTTTTTTAAACTATAATGTTTATATATGATTCCCTCTGCAGCTCACACACATCCATCCATACTGTTATTTTTTTGTCTTTCACGATCATTTTTTTTTTTTTTTTACATGACAAACATTTCCCCCTCCATCTCTGTCTTCTTTAGAAGAACTGACTTTGAGGAATCCTCTTCTCTCACCCCGGCACAGGTCCAAACTGCCTCACTCGGCCTCACCCGTGTCATAAATAACCCAACAAAGCAGCGTGTGCCGGCGCCTTGATCTACGCATGTTGAAACCACAGCGGCCGGAAGTCGGAGTTCCCGACCGAATATTTACTTCCATTCGACCGACCGTCACGAACGCACTGTGACAAACGGACGTCGAACAGCTGATACGACGGACTCTGAGCGACAGTTGAACGTTTACAACAATGTGACAGAGGATTTTAGTAGAAGTCAAACTCCTCAACATCTCAACTCAACCATTTACTGTCAGTTATAGAACTCCAGGTCACTAGTTACTAGTTACTAGTTACTCTACTAGTCCACTGTAGTGTATGTAACACTGTCAGGGTCTTAGAAATTCCCCTGAGGGGGAAAAAACAGAAAATCACCTTTTAATCCAGAGTTTTTTTGACTGTGTGAAAGGTTTTTTTTTCAGATTAGTCACAGGAAGTTTCTACTGACCTACTTATTTTTTGTTATACTTTTTGTTAGCTTAGGTGTCTCCTTGGTGACCTATTATTTATTCATGGGCTGACGATTGTTCTTGTTGATTGTAATGGTATTGATAAGATATTTTTGTGTTTTTTCCCTCTTCTTAGCTAACTATGTTGTTAGCTAACTTTGTTGCTAGCTATTGTGGCATATTTTTGGTAAACTATTGAAATCATTTCAGGTCTTGAATAATTTTGCTACTTTTGAACTAAACTTTTACCTACCACATAATTTAGCTAGAAAAAAAAAAGAATTTTTTTTTTACAGCAACTTATCGTATGCTACACGGGAACCTCGCTGAATATTTCAAAATGAAAATTTTTAAGTAATTTCACAGTCATTTTAAATGTAACCTTCGGTCAGTGACTATAGGAGACGTAACAAAACTTGTAATTATTTCCATAATCTTCTGTATTCGCTCATCATCAGACCTACGCTGACCTGGTTTCCTCTATAAGGTTGGCTCTGCTGTGATTGGACGTCATTTTGATCCCGACCAATGAGCTTGAACCTGCCCTGGGCTGATCCCCTCCCTAACACCTGTTGGTGCACCACTTAGTGCACGACTGTTTATGCCACAAGCTCCATCAGATAAGACCTTCAGAATGTGAGGCTGTTTTTTATCAGCGGTTCTCGAGAAGAACAATCAGATAAAAAGGTTTCATCTGCAGGAGGAAGCTCCGCTGCTGCCACCGTCCTGCACCGGCGTCTCCACCCTCGCTGCTAATCTCCCTCTAATCTCTGCAGGATGTCTGTCAGAACTTTACCGCTGGTTTTTATTAATCTGGGTGGAGAGATGCTTTACATACTGGACCAACGTCTGCGGACGCACGACACCGCTGACGACAGCTCAGAGAGAGGAGGAGGAGGAGGAGGAGGAGGAGGAGGAGGTAGATGAAGACCTGACAAGCTTGGTAGATGTACAGCCCCAAAACTCTCCATCAAAGTAGTCGTAAAAATGTCATCTGATCTCTCTCTCTTTTTTTTTGCACAGCGGTTTGGTCAGAAAATGACAGAAAAAGAGGTATTCTGGAAACATAACACAAACTTCTGCCCCTGTAGTTTCCCTCTAGGCCTTTCCTGTAGTGATGCGGCTAAAAAAAAGTCCAAAGTGACCAGTTCTGAGAGGCTGAACCGTGGAGAGTTGTTAGAACTTTAGCTCCACCTCCAACGTCAACACCTTTATACTGGAGTTGTTAGAACTTTAGCTCCACCTCCGACGTCAACACCTTTATAGATACTGATTCAAAACAAATCATCTTGTTGTAGTTACTTTGAAAAATGAAACCATTGTGGCACAACCTCTGCAATATTTCCAGGTCCCGCCCCCCGACTTTGGAACCTCTGCCTTAATGCATGATGGCCATTTTGAATATATATTTATATATAATCAGAATAGAAAGTCAAATTGTTGCCTGACACTAATTAAAATGCAGAGGTCAGAGGTCAATATCTGTTGTCAGTGACGTTCTGTTGTGTGAACATCTAAGTCCATGCTAATGCGCTAACAACATTACGAACGTATTTGAAAACCCCCGGCGGTTCCATTTGTTTTCAGGAATGAACCTTTTTTTTTTTTTCCTTCTCTCTGTGGTGTGCAGTGATCAGTGACATCGTGGCCACCATGTTCAGTTCAGCCTTCATGGATGAAGTGGTCAAACCTCAGCAGCTCTACTCACACAGGACAATGAAAGCCGTGCTAACACGCTTAGCGCACGTCTCCATCATGAGGCTCAACCCGGGGAGCATGGACAGGGTCTGTGGACCGCAAAGACTCAAGTCGTGTGTGGTTTTTTTAGTTTAGCACGGAAGCTAAATGTTAGCCAAGAGAAAATACTCTTACTGAAGAGTAATTAAAAAAGTTACAGAAAGATGATTTGAAAATTAAGTAACTGAAAATTATCAAAGATTTAAGTGAAAATATAACTAAAGGTTAGCCCAAAAATACTTAAAGGTGAGGTAATAGATAGATCAATTTACTTTATTGATCCCAAGCTGGTATATTACACTGGTTAGTAAGTAGCTAGTTAGCTTGAAGACAATAAAGAACGTCTAAATTTGAACATAAATTGAAAGCCAAAAAATACAGCAAATCCCCTGAAAGTCGTCCAAGTGTTAGCCAAACGTTAGCCAAAGTAGCTTGCAGTGGTCAAATGGGCAGAAATGTAGCAGAAATAGCATCACAACCACCAAAGTGGCTAAATGTTAGCTACAACAATAACGTGAAGTAAACATATTACACACTACCAGCTGCAAGGTAGCTAAGTACCAGTGAACCATGACGGAGCTAATATTAGCTTAATGTTTTCCAGGCCTCAGCTAGAGATTGGACTGATGATGGCGTGAAAATGCTAAAAGACAGAGTTAATAAAATGAGCTCGGTCAAATCTTCTGAATTTGTGAACCGTGTTTTCCCGAGGTTTTATCAAAAACACAGCGGTTCTAATCACTTCCTGTCTGTTCTGCCGCAGCTTTACGAGCTGATGATCATGGCCTTCAAATACCAAGTATTTCTCTGTCCTCGGCCTAAAGACCTGCTGCTCATCACGTACAACCACATCGACACCATCAGAGAGTTCATCAAAGACACGCCGGCGGTCGTGAACCAGGTGGACGAGACACACAGGAAGATCATGGAGGTAAAAAAACAAAAAGAACGACGTGTAATGAGGTGTATTCTCTAATATTTCCAGTTTTTGTACAGGGTTTAAAAGTAC